CGATTTTGCTTTTTTTATTTCTGTGATAGTCACCTCTTTTTCAGAAAAACAATATTAAAAGAAAAAAGCTCAAAATAATGTTTCAAAAGAAGTTTCTTTTATGCTTTTGACTGGCATTTGTGGATATAAACACTTTAGATAGAAAACAGGTAGGATATAATCAAGCATGATGAATTGAATTTTATTACAAATGTTTCCTTCCCAGGGTTGTTAGTGTAGTTAACGTCATGCACGTCCTCACAGAGTGATAGATCAGTGTCTTACCTTCTCACCTAAGGTGCTAATTCAGAAAAGAAATGGCTGTAAAGTAGGGAATAACTACAACTTCAGCCTTAACATTAACCTCTTAGAATGCCTTATTTTCCATATAGGGCAGTCGTTAGTTGAAGATTGTGCTAATCTCCCTGGATTATTGTAGCTCTTCCTTTCTTCAATATTTTACATCAAAACAATTAAGTTACCAGCCCAAAATCACCATAGCATTTTCAGTCCTCTTGGAGATCTGTACCACACCTTACCTGGCATCCCTCTTTGAGATACAGAGCAGGCAGAGAACCTAGAGTTCTTTCCAGCAAAAGCCATCCAGCCAAACATGAGCTGATGTTACTTAGCAATTAGAACTAGATGCTTAATTAGAGTTAATAAAAGTTGGTTCAATGATGAATTCAAGATAAGTATTCAAAAACTAGCAGCATTCTTTTGTTGACAATATCAAGTTTGAAAAATACAGTGAATGAAAGATCTCATTCCCGGTAGTATGTGCGATGCTTACGGATAAACTTAAAATAAGCGTTTGACCTCAGTGAAGGATACATCAAGATNGGATAAACTTAAAATAAGCATTTGACCTCAGTAAAGGATACATCAAGACTTTAGGTATTAAAGATTCACATAAGTGTACAAATATGTCATCTTCCTAGAAAACCTAAAAACAGTTGTTTCAAAGTATTGATGTAATGTAATCGCAGAAAAAAAATATTTTTCCTCAAGAGCTGACTAAATTTTTCATCTTAATTTCAAAATAAACAGTTGAGAAAATAGAAAAATATTTTGGAAAAATAAAGAGTGTGGAAGAACTAACTTTAAAATGGAAAATAAAAGTTATTAAAATAATGTAGATCTGTTGCAAAAATAGACATTCATGAATAGAGTAGAACAGAGTGTAATAGAAGAGAATAGAAGTCCCTGAAAGAAAGCCCACTTAGTATTTGATATAGGAGGCAAAAATCATTGATCAAAGGATTAATTATGTAATAAGCTGTTTAGGATCACAGATTAGCAGTTTCAAGAAATAACACAGTTTATATCTAAATCACAGCCTATGCTAAAATAAATTCCAACTGGCTAAAAGAGTTAAATGTTAAAACATTGTTTTTAAAAAACATACAAATAGAATAAAAAGTTTACTAAATATTTGGAGAAGAGCATGATCTCAAGATCTATGGAATTTGATTATACAAAATTTAAAACTAACATACAATAAAACCTACCACAAATAAAGTGAAATATGGGAAATACTTGCACCAAATTGTTATATAAATAGGAAATAAAAGTTGGCAATAAGCAAGAAGTACTATGATAAACAACCCAACTCAGTATAATATATGACCTAACAATAAAGGTTGCAAATTTAAACAATATTGAAGTCTCATTTGCTATCTATTCAATAAATAAAACAAACTCCCTTGTACTTCATAATTTTTAATTTTATGAAGTTTTTCATTCACATATTATTGTGGATTAGCAATTTGGCTCTTCATATTGAGAATCATAAAAAGAAGATTCTAAAAGTTTATCCCAAGAAAATAATCACAAAGTAGGGGAAAAGCTATATATGTGCAAAAATGTTTATTGTAGCATTATTTATAATAATGAAAAATTAGAATAAGTAGATGCCCAACAATAGGGAGTTTTATAAACAAATTATGACATTCTATACTCTGATATATTTTAGGATGAGTAAAAGCTGTAATTTCAAATACTGTGCCAACACAGAAATATTTTATACTATTTATTCAACAAATATTTATTGAGTGTATGTGCCAAGCAGTGAGCTCACGGCAGCAAGCAAGACATATGAGAGTTCCTGTGCCATAAAATATAACCATAGGTGAAAAGAACAGAGTTTTGTGTACTAAAATGCTTACTACGTAAAAATGGTTTATTAAACCTTAAGTGGACAGGCATGAAAGCAGACTTGCTTGCCTGGGTTGCCAGATTGTGGAGCAAGGCAAGTCTTTTCTTTAGCTTATGTAATATTTTGTGCAATTAAAAATAAAATCAATAAGCCAAAACCGAGAGTCAAATTCACATGCCAAATGGGCTTTAGGTCAGGGTTCTTTCTTCCTCTGCCTTTCTAAATGTGTGGCTACTGTGATTGCCTTTTAATGGCTCTCAAAGGACCTACAAATTTGTCGGGCGCACATCCAGTCATTCACAGATGGGCAGACTTCAGCCCTCAAACATGAACCATCATCTCTCCATTTACTGCCCTGAAGCCTTTTCTCAAGGTTAAGTTGCTTGTATCTGGGTTTTTAAAGAAGTATTGCAATTACAAGCCCTGTGCAAGGCACTGCATCTCCATTGACCTTACCACAGAGACCAGTTCTTCAAAGACCAGTCTGCAGCTGAGACTGTTCACCGGTTTTTGAGAGAGCTGCAGGTGGAATCTTAGAGTCAACACGTTCTTCCGGCTTTGTAGCAGCTAGAGGCAAGTGTAAAAGTCACTCTGTAAAGCTGCTTCNTAGAGCTGCTTTAATGCATGAAGTTTCCACCATGAAATGTATTTCTTTGGGTTAAGAATTTATATCTCCAAAAATTCCCTAGTAAAAACAAATATGCTGAAGCCTACAGTTGGACAAAAACAGATTTTAAGTCAGTCTATTATAGTTTGATAAGGTTACCCTTTTACATAATCCTCAATTGTAATACTAATGTCAGTGACTTGAAAAGGCTCAAGGTCTGGCCTAAAGCCCTAAGTATTTCCATAACCACAGTATTTTGGGGACTAAAACTGCTTTGTCATGATATTCCTCCAAAGAGAACATGTGGTCAAAGAGTTTCTGGCATCTTGACTTTCTTGTCTCTCTGTTCCTCTTATGCACACAGCAGGCTGTAAGGGGGAATGCCACATTAGGAGCTCAGAACCCGAAAAGAAGAGGTGTTTCGCCCTAGCTGGTTTGGCTCAGTGGTTAGAGCATCATCCGGTAGACTGAAGGGTCCTGGGTTCGGTTGCAGCCAAGGACACCTACCTGGGTTGCAGTCT